TAAAAAAAAAATAAATAAAGAGGAATACTTTCCTAGAATTGCTTAAAGAACATTTTATAAATCTGGCATCACATTGTGACCTTGAAAGATAATATTATGATACTTGACTGAATTAGGTCCTATCTTAACAGTAAGAATTTTGAAAATCTCAGTAATAATGACTGGGGTTACTGAGTGAACAGCTAGGGTTAACTGACATTCTTGTGTGTGTGAAGGTTTATTTGTCAAGTGTAAATTTTTTTGTCCCTCAAAAATAGTTCAAAAAAGCTTGCTAGAATATAAAAAGGAGAAATTATATTTCTGATATTCTTTAGTTTTTGTATTTTAGAATTTCTCTCTTAAAAAGACTTAATTCTGTTCTTCAAGTATAACTAAAGCATATGGGCAGTTGTGCTAGTCTTCCTAAACTGTTTTAAAATCATCTATGTGATGCCTTACATGTTGAGTATCTCCTATGATTTTAGTCTGGAGTGAGGCTGATGGGCTATGAAACAAAGTGAAATGTGTAGATTTCCCCCTCCTCCAACATTGAGTGTCTCACTGGCAGGAACATATACACACAAGAAAATTCAAGTAATAGTTTGGGGCTCCCCATGATTAATGGTTGCAAACATGAAGAATAACACTGTTAGGTTATGATAGGAAAATGCTTCTTAGTATATTGCATTCATTTCTCAGGTATTTATTGAGCACTTACTAGTTTGGAACAGAATATAAAGCATATTACAGAGCAGGCATTTAAATGTTTGTTGACTATGGCCAGTAAATAAGATAACTGCCATGTCTTTCCCCAGATTTCTCATAGATTCTTGGGGGAAAAAAGAACCATGGAAAGAATCATTACAACTTGGTGATGCAAGAGCCGATATGTAGGTGTTAGAGTGCTGTGTGGGCTGATCTGGGACACCAAAGATGGACAGAACTGAATTAGAGGAGGACAGGATAGAGTGGGATGGAGGGAGGGATTCCAGGCCAAAGCACAGTTACTAGTGCTTCATGTTAGTATTGTGTATGGAAGTTCTTAAGGGAAAGAGGCTATAATAACTTACATTAGATTTATTTATGCTATGGATTGGTGACCCCGAAATGATGGAGAACCAGGGACATAGTCCCGCAGTATACCCGGCTCTCCCGCCCTCGTAGTCCCAGGTGTCTGTCAGGCGGTGGAAGAACCTTCCTCAGCAAAAGGTCTGATTTCCTCCCACAACCTACAGTACAAAACACCAGATGGAGGTACTTTCCGTCTTAGTCTTGGAGGCTCTGTGTCTCCGTCTCTGTCTCTCTCTGTGCTTGTGTGTGTGAGAGAGAAAGTGAGGTTTGTTTTTTGGATTAGTTGTAGTTGAGATCAGGGAGATGGAAGAGTGTAAAAGTTGATAGTGACAGTTGCTGAGTCCTTTCCACCTGTCTCTTGAGTGAAAAGAAACTTTGTTCTCATACTTACCCGAATTAGCAACTAATTTCTGTACTCTTTCGGGGTCAGGGCACGGTGCTCAGTGACTTCACTAATTTGGTCCCAGCCTTCTCTGAGGTACTTGGTATAACTTTGCTAACTCTCTGCTATGTCACTGCTGAGCATGACATTTGAGACAGCTCCCTCCTACAGAGGTAAGTTGGTTACAAATCCAGTACTTACAAAACTGCGTAAAAATACAGCAGTTGACCCTTGAGCAACACTGGTTTGAACTCTGCAGTTCACTTTCACCTGTAGTATTATTATTATTATTGATTATTATTAACATTTTATAAATACAGTAATGTAAATGTGTTTTCTCTTATGATATTCTTTTTTTTTTTAATTTTTTTTCAACGTTTTTATTTATTTTTGGGACAGAGAGAGACAGAGCATGAACGGGGGAGGGGCAGAGAGAGAGGGAGACACAGAATCGGAAACAGGCTCCAAGCTCTGAGCCATCAGCCCAGAGCCTGACGCGGGGCTCGAACTCCTGGACCGCGAGATCGTGACCTGGCTGAAGTCGGACGCTTAACCGACTGCGCCACCCAGGCGCCCCTCTCTTATGATATTCTTAACATTTTCTTCTCTCTCACTTTATTGTAAGAATATGGTACATAATACACAAAACATACAAAATATGTTAATTGACTGTGCATGTTATTGGTAAGGCTTCTGGTCAACAGTGAGCTATTGGTACTTAAGTTTTGGGGGGGTCAGAGTCATACGTGGATTTTCAACTACATGGGGCGGGGAGGGGGAGCCCCTGACCCTTGCATCATTATTCAGGGTCAGCTGTACTTCATCCATAGCGATTTTGTTCTCATGTTTTTCTCTCAGTGCGTAGGAAATCACTGATCACATAGAAACTGATTAGCAGTCAAAAATCACTAAGTCATTTATGACTATCATTTGGAACTAGATAGTTACAGAAGCAAGGATCAGTAGTTTCCATGGCTGATTTTTGTATTCGTGATAATAACCTTTTGTTGACATTGCCTGACAAAGAAATATGATCTGTAGTGGGAACTCCAGGAGATGGGTTAACACAGAGTTAGGCTCTCAGGATTCATTAGCTTTTTGCCTTTTGCCTTTGTACGTGAGTGGTCTTGCCTGTGTGCTGCTTCTCCTTTACCCCCTAACTCCTTGTTTGCTTGTGCTGGAATGAAGTCAGCAAATAGAATTTGTGGCTTTTACTTCAGAGAAGGGCAAGGGTTTTGAAGCCAACTTTACACTCTGTCCCCCTTAGTCAGAGATATTTTATCTGTTTGTCTTTCATATTCTAGTATCTAAAGCCTTGGTTTTTATCTGTTCATTAACTGTAAATTCGTCTTGTATGTGTGTTATTGAATAAATTATTCTTTTGAATTCTGACCTTCAAGACCTGTATAAGGGTGTGAATATATTTAAAGTGATATTTATTTTTTTTAAGTGGTTATTTATTAAGTGAGGATGTGTGTCAGTCGAAGACCACATACAGTGTTTGATGTGATCCTGTACCTGTCACCTGTTCCATTGCTTTCATTCTATGCATTACCGAGTTTAAGAACACCTTCAACTTAATAACAGCTCTTAGAGGATAAAGAAACATTAAATAGACCCATCAATTACAGCTTGCATCTGGACTTTGAAATTGAGGAAAGAACTGAGGAAATGTGACAGGATGTGAGTCAATATATGGTAATAGTTAAATGTTCTGGCCTTGTGATCAGATATACCTAGGCTTAATCCCAACTCTGCTCTCGATTGGTCGTGTGACCTTCTGTAGGTGACATTTTCATCGTGCCTCAGCTTCTTCATGTATAAAAGTTGGCATGTACCATCTGTCTCATACAAATGTTACAATAATTAAATGATATACTACATCTGGTGTTCAAATGTGGTGGTGGTACTGATTCTAGTCGTAGTTACTGGTACTATGGCTGTTAGCAAACACTAGAGTTTTTCAGTGGAAATTATCTATCTGTCTGTCTGTCTGCCTGTCTGTTCTGCCTGAAGAATACAATTAAGCCTGTGTGCTGGGGGATAAACTGTGGACATAACTTTTTGAGCTTTTCTTCTTGAGTACTTTCACCTTGTTGGATATTCCCTATTTCCTAATTTTAATGGACTCATGTAGTCTTTAACCCTAAAGGCAACTTCATTTATAATCTTAGGGAAACAGATTGGGTTGCTTTGAAAATGATTTTCTACATTGTGAACAAGGAAGATTGTTGTGGAAATTCATTTTCAAAATAAAAGCAGTTGAAGCCAGTGATTTTTTTTTTTTTTTTTTTTTTTTTTTTTTTTTTTTTTTTTTTTTTTTTTGAATGCAACAACGCTCCAGATTGACTCTGCCCACAGGGAGTTACATTGTGGCCAGCAGAAACTATTGCCATTTACTAACCCATCTAACCTGTAATGAGTTCGGTGAAGGCTTGAATTGTTTCCGTCCTCCTTGATGGTATGGAAATTACAGAGGCAAAAGCAAGCCACTTGCAGAATTGCCTGAATATTGAATAAAGAATTGCTATGTAGCTCTTTTACTGGTAGGTAGAACCTTTGTAGAAGAATTACATCCAACTTTCTGACAGGTTTTCTTACAAAATATGTGTCATTTCGTTGAATAATGTTAGAGATTACTGTATTTTGTCAATTTCAAAATGTGCATTTTCTCTCACATTTTTATATTTTTAAAATCAGGGATATTCCTTACAAATGATGGCATCTCAGAATTGGCCAGATGGCAGGTATGATACAGTTGTCATATGCTTGCACACGAGTGAACTTGGTCATAGCTGTCTGTATTCTTGTCACTTCAGTTGAATTGTGTGCATTTTTGGTATTCTATGAGTTGAGTTCTGTTGCCATTTAACATGTCTGCAGAAGGATTACCCTGTAATTTGACATTGAAACACAATGTACACAAAAAAGCATGGAAACAGAAGTGGGGCACAACTTGGATAGGAGGAAAGCAGATAATCACCATGGAAGAAATGGCTGTGGTTCTTTGTTTTCTTGCCAAGCCATAACCAAGTGCTTCACCATACTTACAGAAGAAAAACACCTAAGTAGAAGAGACTCTGCAGTGCTTCTGTTTCTGAGATCTCTGCTAAAGGATTGCATATCACATGCCAAGCAAGGAAGCCAGCATTACAGCTTGCAAAATGAGCATCCCTGGCTTAGAAGAATACCTCTGAGGTACTCGTAAGGAGTGCTGCCTGTATTCCCAACATTCTTGATGACACAAGAATTGAAATAATGCAAAAGTGTGTTTGGATTTGAAGTGATTCACAAGTTTAAGACGTTTCAGGAATACCTCAGCCAATTAATTTTGCATATTTTTTTACATGTGCAAGAATAATTCATAATAAAAATTTATGCTCAAAGTCAGAAAGTTCTTTCAGCATCTCTATAATATAAAAATTTTAAGTGATAAGAAAACATTTTGACAGTTTAATTGGTGATGTTTTTATTTGCCATAGTATATCTCATCTGCGATTATTTGATTCAGTGACTTGCTAATTTGTTATTGAGACTCTAAATATAATTCTTGGTGTGATTATCACAGGTGCCTAATGGATAAGAACTTCGTTAGGATTGGGAAGTGGTTTGTCCGACCGTATGAAAAGGATGAAAAACCAGTCAACAAAAGGTGAGTCTTATGAACCTTTAGGTTTTTCGTTTCTTTTGCTTGACCGTAGCTATGTTTTGGCAAGAGACGGATGGGGGAAACAGCTTATTTATTTTCTAACAGTCTTTGTTTAGATGTACTAAAATAGATTTTATTACATAAAATTTTGTTAATTGGTGTATTACACATTTTATTGAATAGTGTATTATTAAATTTTTGTGGAATATGGGACTAGAAAGATAATCAATAACCTGTATCTAAGCCCCTTCTTACCACACTATGTGGAATTAAAATATTCTGTTTTGTTATTTTCATTATCCTTTTTTATCTTTCTTACTTAAATTTTTTTAAATGTTTGTTTATTTTTGAGAGAGACAGAGACAGAATGTGAGTGGGTTAGGGGCAGAGAGAGGGAGACACAGAATCCGAAGCACGCTCCAGGCTCTGAGCTGTCAGCACAGAGCCCAGTGCGGGGCTTGAACTCTTGAACCTTGAGATCATGACCTGAGCCAAAGTCAGATGCTCAAGGGACTGAGCCACCCAGGCACCCCTGTCTTTCTTATTTAAAGTGTTATATGCATAACTTTAAAAACAGCTGAATTCAAATGGTGATAATTTTTATAGAATTGATTGATGCCCCTTAAATGTCTGTGAATACATCCTTGAAAATCTTAAACCAGGACTGTGAATCACTTTTCTAACCAGTCCTAAACTTTTGACTATCATTTGTTGAATGCCAAACAAGCATGGACTTTTATATCAATCAAACCAGGATCAAAAACTAAAACCTTGAAAGGCAAATATTTACTTCATTTATCTCTGGACATAGCACAGACTTAATTGGAATCATAAGTTGATGAATTGGAATCATAAGCTGATGGGTGATTGTTTCCTATCGGAAGAGCAGGGCACACAATCCCAATTCTATTTTACTGTCCATGAAGTTGCCCGGAGCTAAGGGTTCCAGCTCCTGGCTGCAGATAAGAGCTATTGAAACCTTAGATGTTAAGCTGTAAGGTTAGCTCTTTTTTAGGTAGTTGCCACAAGTTTGGCTGGCAGCTCTTGCCTGTTCTGGAACTTTTACCTTCTTAACTTCGTTGTTCCTCCCTGTGACTTAATTCGCACTAGCAGCTTCCTCTCCAACCTGTATGTCTTAAAGCTTTGATGATGTGGTTGTGGATCTCATTAACCAAACTTAATTTATGAGAATTAGGATTTATTTTTTCAAATCAGATAAATTGGGGACTGGCATGTAATTTTTTTTTTTTTTTTTTTTTTTTTTTTTTTTTTTTTTTTTTTTTTTTTTGGTCAAATCACCATGGATTTTTAAAAAATATTTTCCCTTTTTTAGTACATTTCAAATCCTTTAGGATTTAAAAATATATATATATAACTAGAAAGTAGGTATTATGTATATCAAAGTTTGCCTGAAAAGGATAATTCTACATTTAGAATGGTGTCAGTATGTATGGGTATGTAAAAATACGGTTTTGTTTACAGATTCTTTGACGGTGAGAAATTTTTTTCCTTTATTTATATTGATTTGCTCTAACTAAAGCATTTGCTCCATGGGCATATTTAATCTCAGTGTTTACTTAAGTTTACAGAGGATGGGTTAAAGGTTTGGTTTTTCTGTTGATGAGTGATGAGTTGCTTTGGCACGATGATCTTTACCATTCATTCCTGTGTGCCTCTCCGTGCTCAGTGTGCGGTCTCGGACAGAGCCAGTCCTAAAATTTTTCATCAGTAGCTATAGGTGTTTGTATGATGATTTCATAGGAATTGGGGGATGAAGGGGAAGTGCGGAAATAAAATAGGGATTGAAATAGCAGTAATTAGTACTTTAATAATAAACATTAATGTTTGAAGTCGAATATAGTTACCAATCTATTTTACATAACATCTGTATGTCTTTGCACTTCATTTACATCCCAGAAGTCTTCCTGACTTTAGCAAACCAGATGTGAATAATCCTTGTAATATATTTAGATATTTGATTTTTGTGTACCCGGCAGGCTATCGATTTCTGAGCAATGTAATTGAATTATTTTATTAGTTTTAGATTTCATACTCATGGTTGAAGGTAGAACTTCAAACTTCATTTTATTGTAGTATAGAAATGTTAATGATTTTGAAAAACTATTTTAGGAGGTGTTAACAATTGGAAAAATTTTAAACCAAACGTTGTTTTAAAAGTTGGCATTTGCTGTAATAGAACTTTGTTAGGTATAATGACTTTGCCACTTTTATTCTCTGAATGGAAAATAGAGCCTCTTGTTTGATGCTGAAACAGGATCTTAGTGTTCAGGTCATTTTGGATGGACAAACTGATGCTGTCTGTGGATGAGGGCATTTGGATTTAATAGATTTGGGATCACGTCCCATGCCTCTCTTCAAAAGTTCTTTGCTTTTAGAGAAGTTGTTTAGTTTTTCTGAACCGAACTTTGTGTTTTGCTGTAACAGAGTTGTTGATGATAGTTTAGTTACTACCTTACAGGGTTATCGTAAAGACTAAATGAGATCATTGATGTGACTGGTTTGTAGTTGAGAAAAAGCAAAAATAAATGAAAATTTTTAGGCTTAATTTTGTGTGGGTGTGCACACATTTTCAGTTTAGTGACCGATGAGAGGAAAATTTGCTGCCCGGTGCTAAACAAGTTTTATGCACAAATTGGTATTTTTGGGAAAGCTCTTATTTGATGCTAAGAGATACACATGAGAGAAATATATTTTAAAGAATGACATTTTATGTATAAAATTAAGTAATTATAGCATACTTTTTTCAAGAGATTAAAAGATGATTTAACACTGCGTATTTTACATAGCTAAAACGATTTTAATAGTGAAGACAAATGAATCTATTGATGAATAGATTTCACCTGTTCGACTAACAGCATATGATTTCTTGAGCTATGATTATTTTCTGTAGTGATAGCAAAACTAAATCATTTGCCTGGTGGACTCTAAAAGAGTTCTTAATGTTTGCTATGAGATGATAGGATAAACTTAGAAAAATTATATATTACATATTATATATTATATATTATATATTATATATTATATATTATATATAATATGTATGTATGTATTTAAACAGGCAGGTCCAAGAAGGTAAAAGAAATTTATTCACATTATTTTTTTCTTTGTGGTGGCACATCTTTTGTTACTCATAGCCTTAGGAATATAATAAGTAAGAAAGAAAACTTTGGCTTTGTCCTAAAGAGTTGTGGCAGATAACATCAAACATAAAAAATTTTTGGGTTCCTGAAATATGTTGAACTTGAAAAAACTTTTCCTTCCAGGATATGCTTAAAAACAAACCAGTGAAAAATGTATTCCTTTCAAATAATTTAGAAATTATTCATGGAGATTCTATTCAGTTTCAGCCTACATTTGATTACTACAGAATTTGAAGTTTATACACTTTATTTTTTGAATGCTAGTTTTAGCAAAATAATTGATCACTCCCAGTAACCGTTTGGACCTTGAATTTTTTTCTGATATCAGGTATATAGTAGTTAACAGAAACATATTTGCTAGTGCATTTTCTGAATTAATCAGCTGTCTCTTCTTCATGGGCAAGCCTACCTTGAACGATACTCCAACAAGCCTCATATACTTTTAAATATTCTGATTACTTTTGTATGTGCTGTTAGCAGATATGCATGTGTGGGCACTCACACATTGGGAAGTATATTATTTTGACTGCTTTTGTGTTGTTTTGTCTGGATTTTTTTTTTCTACTTTTAAGCCAGAGATTGATGCCTTCTTTCTTTCTTTCTTTCTTTCTTTCTTTCTTTCTTTCTTTCTTTCTTTCTTTCTTTCTGTTCTTATACCACTCACCTATTTTTCAAGAAATGCCCTTACCTTTTGATTTTAATAGCAAAAAAATAGATTTTGTATAATAAGATGAAATACTTTGATGCAGGAGAATATGTTTTAGCACTTCAAAACTTCCCTGCCCCCTCTTTCCTCAGCATCACCCCCTGCCCTCTTTTCACTTCTCCTGGCTCTTCCAGACCTCCTCTTTCCTGTACTTTCCTTGTGATGTTTCCATCTAGAGACAAACAGACGAAAAGGCAGGGAAAGGAATCCCTCATGTAGAGGATAAACAGACGTGTGAACAAGTGCTTACAATGTGAAAGATAAAGGGAATCTCTTCCTAGTGTCCGGAAAAATGTGATCATTGGTGATAATTTTTTTCAATTTTTCTCATAACTTTAGGTGGTGCCTTTTGCCACGTGTCTTGATAATGAGGGCTGTCTGACGGGAAACCCGTAAAAGCATATTAATGAAACAGTTTGGACTTATCTAAACATGTATAATAGTTTTGCAGCCTTTTTTTGACCCATAAAATATGTAGTCATTTTCTGTTGGTTTTATCTGATGGGGGATATAGCAGAAGATACTGTGTATTTTGTCATTTGAATGTATTTGAGAATTGTATGCAAGGTGAGAAGAGGGATGTGGTTAGAGTCTTGAGTGTAGGCATTCGTGGGTGGCTAGAGAAGGAAGAATGTATGTGTGGAGACTAAGAAAGATAAAAGAAGTGGGAGCCAGGATGGTTGGTGCCACCAAGACCATGGAGTTTTAAAGTTTCATGATGAATCAATCAGCTGTGTCTGCCACACAGGCCATGTAAAATACATTCTAAGAGGACTATTAGATTTGGCTTTCAGCGGTGGGGGGGATTTGAGGTTGCAGTAGCTTGAGGTATAAATAAATGGGGGTTGAAATGAAGACCCCGAATGTAGGGTTCTTGTTACATTTGTTACAAGTCATTGCAAAGGAAAAACTCCTGTACCTAGGAAGGGAAGAGAGAAGCATTTAAAGAGGGCCTGTGATAAAACTGCGTTGTACTGTCTGTGGTTTTAACAAGTGTCTCATGTACCACTGCACTCGGTTTTGTTCACAAGCATTATGCACAGAGGAATGTGAAATTGAGAGACCAGTTCAACCAGAGGTGACGATGGTTAACTATATACTGTCTAGGTAGCTCTTTCACTTTTTTTCCCTCTCTT